AAATTAAATTAAACTTATAAAATAGTAAAAGCCTAAATTTTTTTTTATCTTATCAATAATTACGTTTAATATCATATGAATCTAATTAAGTTATTCTAATTTTCAGAAAATTTGAATATAATACTTCAGCAGATTTATCCTGAATTATTTTAAACTTAAATTTATATGAACAAATTTCAATTGATGGATGTCGAAAATGGTTATAGGACCACCGTAGTTGTTGTCTTATTTGTTGCATTTCTGAATTGGGGCGGTAGGCAACCATATGATATAATAGCCGAACGCTCCGTTGTCAATCGTTGTGCCTCATTACACTTGATTTATTCGTTGTCCATTATGTGACGCAATAAATTTTGGTTAGCTGTCTTACAAGCAAGCGCAGTTATCATCATCTATTATTAAAAATATTTCTTACTGTAACTAATTTTATTTTAACTCTTTTTTTTCTCCCCGCCCCCCCCCCTTCCCGCTTTTATCCAGCCATTCACTAGATAATAATTTGTTTTATGTTTTTTTTTCTTTTCAGTTCAAATTATTTATAAATAGGTTTTTTGTTTTTTGTTTTTGTTTTTGTTTTTTTTTTAGAGTATTTTCCGGTTAGTGATAATAAAATATGACAGAAATGAAATATTTAAAATTCTTAAAGTTTCAAATTTATAACATTTAATTGTTAAAAATATCTTTTTTTTTTCTAAATCTTGAATCATTCATCTAATTAACAGTTAATTAATTTTTTTTTTGTTAAGATATTTTGATAAAATGATCAAATGATAGCATTACATTTACGGGATAATTAATTTATTTGTTAAGAAGCTATAAACTTGTATGTTAGCTATAGCTTTCTCAAGAAAATGCAAATAAATGGCATGTAAAAGCTTAACATCGATAAGTGTCGGCTAATAAAAAAGCCTTTTTTTTTTTTGCTTGGACCAAATTATTAAAATAAAAAAACGAAATTAAAGGATAAAAAAATGAAAATAACAAAAAAAAAACAAAAAAAAAGTAATCGTTTTCGGTTTAATTTTTTCAATCGAACTGATTACGGAATGAACAATGATTCGTTCCTTTTGAACTAATTTCATTCCTTAGCTTATTCTTTATTCTAATTTATGAAACAATTTTGGAAATCGATTTATTAATTCAAAGTTTCTTCACTCTTTTTCTTTAAATATTTTTAGTTCTTTGTAAATTGTAAAACATAGCAAATAAAAACTGATAATTAATAGGATAGAAATAGTGTTGATTAATTAGGAATATGATTAATTCCCGTATATTTAAGAGGACATATTAGATTGTCATTTCAACTCTTCCGTATTTATTATCGTTTATTCAAATTATTCCATAAATTGTTTGGCTATAAATTGTTTGATATGATGAAACGAAATGACTAAGAGAATAGGTGTGGAATTGAAGAGAATAAGGTGGAGAAATGATGAAAAGATCAGATGATTGTGTTTCACACAGTGATGGTGAGTGGCCTATGATATTACAGATCGTAAATCGCGATTAAGCGATAGGTCGTTGTACCTTTGCAAAATTTTATGGCTCTCGTTGCAGAACTATTAAAATTTGATTGTACCGAATTCAACAATCCACCAATCCGTAAAAATGTTGTTTTATTTTATTTTTTTTCTTTTTTTTTTTTTTTTTAGGAATTATTAAGGCTTCTTTATAAGAAGCTGCCGCCTATTCCTTTCCATTTATGGAGCATTCCTCCTATTTATCATTGTTCCTCTTCCAACATCATCATTATCATTATCATCCTCATCATCATCTTCAATCCTTTATCGCCTATCTCCTATCAATCCTTTTAACGATATCACGTCATTTAACATTTTCGCTGTAAATGATTAAACGCTTTTTTTAATTGCATTATTTCAAATTTCATAAGTTAAACATATTTTGCACCATCCTTTCTCTTCCATTTTATTTTCATCATTGAGATATTTTCCGGTTTGTTGGTGACTCCTTTATTGATGACATATTTAAAAGCTGTTTGTTTTTGGGTAACTTTACTCATTCCATTCACACTTTACCCTCTTTTCTCTTCCATTATTACTCTCCTCAATTCTTCATCTTTCTTATTTTCTTCCTCAAATTTTTTTCGAATAAATTTCATGTTATTGCATTTTGCACTACAATAAAGTTACGGTATCAATGACTGAAATATTTTACTTGAAAAATTCAGATGATCGATGGAATTTGAATTAATTAATGCAAGTCAGCTTAAATTCAATTCATTGCTATCAACTATCATGGTAACCGCGTGATACGCTATATAAATTATCAGTAAAATTTCAATATTAGCATCCTAGTATCCTATAGCTAACAAATTCATCGGAACTACAAGAATTGCCGGGTAAATTTAGAACATCGTGGATCACAATGATAATGTACGAATATGTTGGATATAGTTTCAGTTAAAAAGCCTCTTGAATCAATCTAACTTCAGTCTAACTATTCATTTTAAACTGCTTAAATTGTCGATGATTCAAATTACCGGATTTAAACTCAATACAATTTTACAGATTTTTCTTTTAGCTTACAAGAATATCGTCTGTTTATTCCAATTTTCCAACATTATATAACCTTTGCCATTCGTTAACATCTTTATAAAGTTAAATTTCATGAGAAAATCTGCAACTTTCATCAAACATTAATCTTTGGACGAGAATTAAGTGAATTCGAATAAATTTTAAATAGCTTTGCTTCTATTGCAATTTTTTTTTTTTAAATGCTTTAAAAACATTTTACTTTTATTTTTACTTTTACTTTTTACATTTTTTTTTACACTTTTACTTTTTACATTTTTTACAAAAACATTTTACTTTTACTTTTACTTTTACATTTTACTTTTCTTTCCTTTTTTTTTCATACTTGGAATCTTTTTTGTTAATGGGAGAAATACTCGAATAACTATTAAAAAGATGAATGAAAAAATAAAAGAAAAACCGTTGATTATTCCTGTTTTATTAAATAAAATGAACTTTTATTATCAATAAATCAGCTCTGTAAACATTTAATCAGTTCAAATTCGATTATTATTTTAAATATATTCATGAATCACATATCTATGG